ATTGGTAGCGGAAACTGTCACCCAACTATAAGTATTATGAGTACTAGCTGCACAATTATTTTAAGTTAATTATGTTAATATATCAGAAGCTGGTCCACATGTGTTAGTAGTTGTATTCCATAAACATGGAACAACTTATGATGAAAGTGGGTTAGGTAAATAGAATTAACAATTTAATTATGTTTTGAATGATGAACAATTAACTTAAGAGCATGTACCATTGTTCCATGAACAACTAAATTAATTTCTTAAACATAAGGTTTCATTTGTTGCTTATGTACATTATGAAAATCCAACACATGTTTTAGTTTAGCCAGTTGTATTCAAAATACAAACTCCATCAGTACCAATATTATTAAAACACTAACCATTAGCAGCATATAAAACAGAACAAGTTGTTGTAGGAAAAGATTGGCAAGTACCATTGCTGAATCCTTTACATGAAGCATTCATATTGACACATTCTAATTAGTTAGTTGCTGTTAATGAAGAACAATTAGTGAATGGTACACAGCCATTTTTACTACTCCAATAACAAGTACTTAATGAAGCACAAGTAATCTAGTTATCATATTAAAGACAAGATGATGGTGAACAAATGTTAGTTGTAGAATTGTAAGTACAAAATCCTGAATTTTAACAATTTTCTTTTGAATATAATTATGAACATTAACATGAAGAGGGTGTTTAAATTGATAATTGATTTGTACCACATGAAACACACATTCCTGCAGATGCATTATTGGTACTCCATCTAAAAGTACTACCTGTATTACTAACACAAGTTTATGATGTTTATAATAATGCTGAGTAAGCATTTTCACAACCTCCTTTAAGTCCTAATGTTTTATTCCATCTACATAATTAGTATTCAGTAAATTGATTAATGACATAAGAACATGTTTATTCATTTGAATACATTGTGCATTCCAATTATTAGCATTATGATGATTATGCATTCCATTGACATTAATTTTTCCAATTTCCACAAAATGCAGCATCAGATATTTAATTACACACTTATAAAAGAGAACATGAATTATTAGTAGCATTCCATACACAAAGACCTTAAACACCAATAAATTAGGAACAGTCTGTTTAAGTTTTTTAACTACTGCATGTAGATTTAATAGTAGATGTAGCAATACAACTATTTCCTTCATAACCAGCACATGATAAACTTTATGCTGCACATCCAACTGCACTAAAATTATATATGAGATCATTGCAACTATTCAAATTTTAACATACATTAGTTTTAAAACTCCAGAAACAATTTGAAACTTGAGTGCAAATACTTTGATTTTTAATTTAATCACATGAACTTTAAGAGCAAGTTCCAGTTTATGCATTCCATTGACATAAACTATTCTATGAATTACAATCAGTTGATAAGACAAAATCAGAACATATACATCTAGCTTTTGTTATAATTGATATTTATGATGTTTTAATAGACAATTATTTACATGGACCACAAAATCCTATTCCAGGATTTTATTATAATCCATACCATCTAAATAATAAACCTGTATTAGTTATACAATTTTATGAATTCAATTAATTAATGTTATTTACATTAACACATTAACCTTAAGACCATGCACATACATTCAAAGTTATTGAATTCAAATTTGAAAAATAGTGTTTGCATGTGTCTTCAGTTGTAAATTGATTACAATTTGTTATAGCTGAACATGTAGTACCATTCCATTAACATACAATTCCTTAAGGAGAATCAGATTTGAAATAATTAAGTTATTCACATTAATTTTATTTTTGAGCTTGTGAGCATTGATTAATTACTTAACATATATTATCATTAGTCCAATAACATGGTCCATCTTTACCAAAATTATATGAGCAATTATTTTATTGATAATCACTACAATTTGAAGTGATTTCACTATAATACAAACATTGACTGGAGGTTGAATTAGGTAATACACCATATCCAAGACATCTAACATTCTATTAGATACATTATTAATTGTTTGTAGCTGTTAAGCTAGCACATGATGTAAATGCCGAACATGATGAAGGATTTGTATTTGGATTCCATTGACAATAATAAGAAGCTTTTAAGCATTAAGATTGTGTTGTTAGTGTTGAGCAATTATTTTATTAGCATTAGTTGCTAGCTACTACCCATATACAGCCTGGTAATATGCCACAATCATTTTGATTTGTTAATTGTGTACAACCACAGATGTTTTGTGATGTCACTACAATTTAAGATGCACCTAAGCCTATAAGAATAGTGAATAAGATGTATGAATTCATTAATTTTAATATTGATAAATCCAATTTCATATCATCTATTTGAAATCTAATTTTTTGCACTTTCATCACCTCCATAATCCATAATAATTATTTTTACTCAAGATTCTCTATATTCTGCGTATTAATAGACTACATCTCTTCTAACATTAAACCTATTGCCATCTTAATTGATCTCTATAATTTTCAAGACACTCCTATTATTTACATATTTCGTCATTCAAGCACTTGTTTTTCTTTGACCATAATTTTATGGAATAATATTTTATATTCTTATATAATATATATAAATTAATCATTTAGAATCTGTAGGAAGCAACACTACTTTAGTTGATCCTTGTTATCCTAAGGTTGTTATTGTATCTAAATATCTAATTTGCATAGCTGCTTTAGAATCCAATAATTCAGCTGCTTATCTCATCAATTTGGCTGATTATACATCTCCTTAAGCTGAAATCACTTTAGCTTAAGCAGCTCTTTATTCTTTTGCTGCCATTGATAAAGTATTCTATAAATCAGCATTTAATTGAATATCCTTAATTAACATATTTTCAATATCTATTCCCCATTCCCATACATGTTCATCCACAAACCCTTCTATTTATTATTATACCTCTGCTCTCTTCTCCAATAAATCTTGCAATGTATGGGATCCTGCAATACTTTTTATTGTAGCCAATGTTAATTAAGTTACTGCTTAATGCAAATCATTGATATAAAATATTGATCTTCTAGGTATAACTATTCTATAATAAACTGTTGCATCAATGCTAACTAAAATATTATCCTTTGTCATAACTTATTATCTTGGGCAATCGATCATCTAAACTTTACAATCTACTTTCTAAATTGTATCAGTACAAGGATTTATGTATATCAATCCAGGTTAAACTATATTATTATAATGTTAATACCTGTCTTTATATACTTTCCAAAACGTAAATACACTCCAACAAAGCTCTATTCAACTTGAACATATGGATATTCAACAAATGGATTACATGGACAAACTGCTTTACAATTACCACAACATTCTCCACAATTATAAAGATAACTCTAATAAGACCCACCTAAATCTAAATTCTGCTCTTAATTTTCAGGCAACTCTTCTCTAGGATACCTTGGAGCTTTATAACCTTAGAATTCAATCAACCATCATAATACCAGGAGGAGGAACATTGTAATCCCGATGTTGTTATACTGGAATTTGTTAATTAGGTTGTTATTGATACATAACTTAGTTTTGTTAATACATAGTTTTAATATTGAGATTATTGCTATTATAAATTATATTCTCAAATTAGATTATCTATAGAATCAAAATACTCTATTCATATATGTCTAAAATTCTTTATTCACTTAAATTTATTATTAGATGTATTTCAAATATCTTATCATTTAATGCATACCAATATTTATCAAATTATCATCTTATAAAATAAAAAGAAATTAGAATAATTGTATACTATAATCCAATGATAATTATAAATAATTACCTTTTAAATAGTCTTCTCATTAATGATTAAGAAAGTTACTCTCATTAAAACTTACTTTTAATAGCAAAATATTTTATATATATAAATACAAATTGTGTTTGAGTAAAGAAATTGACAGTAATTAAAATAACTATGTCATAAAATATAGATGTTAACACAATTCTAATTATTTGCCAGAAATTTTAAAATAATATCAGAATTATAATATTTAATTAATTTAGAAAAAAAGAATTGGGATATCTTTTAATTAGATTTAAGAATGGTAGAAGTAGTTAATTTAGACTAAAAAAAGAAATAAACATAAGCAAAGTGAAGATCTGTTAAGAATAAATAACAATATATACTTTTTTGTGACTTTTTTAATGAAATACAACCAAAAAATAAATTATATTTTTAATATACTATTAAATTTATATTTGATACTTTTTAATTTGTAATTTTATATTATACTTAGACTCTATATATTATATTCTTCATAATTATTTTTTTTAATAAAATTTGAATTATCTGATAGATTTCAATTTTATTATGCTTAACCTTAAAATGTGAAATATATAATTATTTTAATGTTAACATATGTAATTAATTATGTTATATTATAATTTGTATTTCTTTTTTTCTATAATAATTTTCACAACAAAAGAAGTCTTTTTTCTTAAGAATTAATAATTAAATAAATATTATAATTAAGTATAAATTTGTTCTTTATTCATGAATATTTATAAAATAATAAATCTTTAATTCTTCCTATTGATTATATACCTTTTAAACCAAATATTTATCAATAATATGAAATAATAACAGTAAATGAATAACATTTTTTATTTTCATAATAGACCTAAGACATTTTAGTTTCAATAAATTGAGGTGAATGCTTTTTATTTAAATTTAATTCTAGAAGCTCATTATGTGTTTATTTACAAAATCTATAATTTGAAAGGATAAGTACAAATAAATAATAGTATATTTAAAGTCATTTTAAAAAGTTTTTGTTCTAGAAATTTATCTTGTAAAAGTCTTTTTATTATTAATATGTGGATTAATTTAATTTACTATGTCTTTAGTAATATGTAGTAATAATTCACTTTACTAACTGAACAATTAATTAATATTGAATAAATATTATTAAGACTGTATTAATATGTATAAATTCAAAAGATATTATAAAATTCCATTTATATATAATCGTAAAGCAGTAAAAAGCTAAATTTCATATTAAATTTAATGTCAGATTGTGCAGCATAACAAAATTTCATCAATTTCTTATAGATGGAAAAGGATTTAAGTAATTTTGAAGAATATTCATCTTAATTGATTTTCTCAAATTAAGAGAATCCTTCATTAACTTAAATAGTTGATTAAAATCATGTTCCTTAAAGTCATAAAGCAAAAAAGATCAAGAAGAAGAAAAGAGTTGATTTCCATTATAAAAGAAGAAGAAGAAACAATAAAAATTCAGAATTGAATAATACAACATCATTCAATTTTGAAGAAGATCAAAAGATTTTATCACTTGTACTTGAACATGGCCCTAGATTCTCAATTGTTTCTAGATATTTTAATGATAGAAATTAGAATGCAATAAAAAATAGATATTACAAATACCTTCGATTTAGATGGGATTAAATATTAGGAAGGTAAATGAATAATTTATATTATTATTAGTGATTATATTCATCTTAACTATAGAAAAGAAGATGATTAAGAGAATAGCGAAGACATAAATTAAGTAATTTAAGAGATGAACTTTTTTCCTGAAGTTACAAACATTTTGTCATCACTTGTTCAAAGAGTCTATTCCCATTTTAATTGATAATATTCTCTCATTTATTATATTATATTCAAACAATAAGCTATAAATAAGCATTTTAATTCACTTCTTCATAGTTTAATACACTTTATATTTTCTCTAACAAATTGAATTGTTAGATGAGCGAATAAACGTATTAGAAAAATTAATTTAAAGTAGCCTAACGATTAGCTCAATACTATTTAAAATTTACAATCCTATATGAATTTTGAAGACCTTTCTTAAATGATATTTTTAGTTTAGATTATATATATATCTAATATAGACCTTGATGTTAAATATTTTTTTAAAAGTTTAAAAGAAGAAAATGATCTACAGAAAAAACTGGAAAATCAATTATAAAAAGAAATGTATTAGTATTTTTGAATAATGAATATATTGTAATTAGAAAATAGAAATCTATGTCAAATAAAAAAGAGTCTATATTTTTGTATTATTTTTTTTATGTTCAATCCTTATTTTCATATTCATTTTTTATATATAAAAAGAAGAGAATTTATTGTAATATGAAAATGAGATTTGAGTATTATACATCTTTTTTACATTTTTATAATTATTAAGTAGTATTTACTTCAAATATATAGTTCGTTGATTATTATTACAATATTTAATATTAATGATTAAAATATGTTAATATAAATTAACAAATAGTAGAATAGGCTGAAGGTATTAATTTTTGTTATTAATTTATCAATATATACTCTTATCAACTTCTTTTGGAAATGGTTTAATATCAGTGTCTAGCTCTTATTCAATTTATACCAAAGTATCTTTATCTGTTTCAGTTATAAAATTAACAGCCAAACCTAAATGACCAAATCTAATTATTATATTAATTAATAAATTACCTTCCTGATCTGCCTATACGATGTAAATATGTTTCAGCAGTTCTTGGGAAATCGAAATTTATGACTACATTGACAGATTAAATATCAATTCCTCTAGTAAAGAGATCTGTAGAGACAAGACATCTACCTACAGCTTTTCTAAAACTATGGAATACTTTATTTCTATCCTTCTAATTCATTTTTGCATGAATGTAACTAATAGAATGATACAAAATGCATACAAACATGAATACCCAAATTCAGTAATTTTTTGAGTCAATAATTCTACTCTTCTTGCTGAATTGCAAAATATAATTGCTTAATTTATTTCAAGTTTGCTAAATATGAAATTTAAACAATTGACTTTTTATTTCTCATCAATAAATAGATAATATTATGTTACACCCTTTAATGTTAATTCTTCCATAAGATTAATTTCTTGTATTTATGGAACATGTTCATTAATAAAACCTTTAACATCAACAGGAAATGTTGCAGAAAACATCATAATTTATACTTCTGGAGGTGCAAATTAAAGTATTTTAACAATAAGTGGTTAAAAATCAACTGAAAGTAATTTATCAGCTTCATCTAAAACGAAATGTTTTAATTTAGATAAATCAGCTAATTTCCTTTAAGCCAAATCTAAAATTCTTCCAGGTGTTCCAACCAATACATGAACTACCTACAATCATTTAACTCTCTACCTATTTCAATCTATAGATATCTTCTTTAAAATCAGTGCCTCCTGTTGAAACCATACATTCAACCTTCATATACTTACCAATCTCTTTTACTAGACTAGAAACTTATAAAGCTAATTCTCTTGTAGGCACTAAGATCAGACTCTAGATCTGACCTTCTATCTCCATCATTTCTAGAATTGGAATAATGTAAGCTCCTGTCTTGCCTGTACCATTTTTAGCTCTTGCAATAATATTTGATCCTGCCAATGCAAATGGAATAGACTCTTCTTAAATAGGAGANATTAATTTTTGTTATTAATTTATCAATATATACTCTTATCAACTTCTTTTGGAAATGGTTTAATATCAGTGTCTAGCTCTTATTCAATTTAAACCAAAGTGTCTTTATCTGTTTCGGTTATAAAATTAACAGCCAAACCTAAATGACCAAATCTAATTATTATATAAATTAATAAATTACCTTCCTGATCTACCTATACGATGTAAATATGTTTCAGCAGTTCTTGGGAAATCGAAATTTATGACAACATTGACAGATTAAATATCAATTCCTCTAGTAAAGAGATCTGTAGAGACAAGACATCTACCTACAGCTTTTCTAAAACTATGGAATACTTTATTTCTATCCTTCTAATTCATTTTTGCATGAATGTAACTAATAGAATGATACAAAATGCATACAAACATGAATACCCAAATTCAGTAATTTTTTGAGTCAATAATTCTACTCTTCTTGCTGAATTGCAAAATATAATTGCTTAATTTATTTCAAGTTTGCTAAATATGAAATTTAAACAATTGACTTTTTATTTCTCATCAATAAATAGATAATATTATGTTACACCCTTTAATGTTAATTCTTCCATAAGATTAATTTCTTGTATTTATGGAACATGTTCATTAATAAAACCTTTAACATCAACAGGAAATGTTGCAGAAAACATCATAATTTATACTTCTGGAGGTGCAAATTAAAGTATTTTAACAATAAGTGGTTAAAAATCAACTGAAAGTAATTTATCAGCTTCATCTAAAACAAAATGTTTTAATTTAGACAAATCAGCTAATTTCCTTTATGCCAAATCTAATATTCTTCCAGGTGTTCCAACCAATACATGAACTACCTACAATCATTTAACTACTCTACCTGTTTCAATCTATAGATATCCTCTTTAAAATCAGTACCTCCTGTTGAAACCATACATTCAACCTTCATATACTTACCAATCTCCTTTACTAAACTAGAAACTTATAGAGCTAATTCTCTTGTAGGTACTAAGATCAGACTCTAGATTTGACCTTCTATCTCCATCATTTCTAGAATTGGAATTATATAGGCTCCTGTTTTGCCTGTACCATTTTTAGCTCTTGCTATAATATTAGATCCTGCCAATGCAAATGGTATTGACTCTTCTTAAATAGGAGATGGCTTCTCATAATTTGCTGCTGCTAGACCTTACATTAATTCTTATTTCAAATCGAACTCTTCAAACTCTACTCCTTTTGTCTTCGTGACATCCTTACAAGTTAGGCAAAGACCTTACACTCGTCTTATAACGTGTATCCTTCGGTTTTGGTTGTTCATCTATTGTTTGCGTTGTTTGTGGCTATTATGAGTCACTTTGTTGCATATTAATTATTTAAATAATATATAATAGTATCATTCCAATAATTTTCATAATCAATTACTCAATTTAACTTTTTAAAATACCATTCTACTATGTAATTTAATGTCTTGTTTGCATCCAGACAATTATTTGAATTACTTCTCCAATCCTTCCATATATTTTATGGTTTTGCATTCATTACTTTATTTATCCAATTTCTCAATCTAGATTTAATATGTTTTATAACAAGTCATTCATTTTCATTGTTACTTCATTATATAATTCTCAAGTATATACTTCCACTTCTTAATCAAAGAATTTCTATAAATTATTTATAACTTGTTCATTAATTAATATCTATTTATCTTATAGTTTTGTATTCCTAAAATATTCTAACAATTCCTATATTGAGAACTATTATTTTTCCTTATTTTTATTGATTATAATTTGTTGAAAAGACTGATTATTCTGAGTAAATTTCAATTTATATACACAAAAGTCTTTATTGATTATATTATTTTATTTTAATTACTTAGACTCATCCTCAAATTTCTTTTAGGTAAATCTTTTAAATAAAAATTATAGCATCTTCTTAATAGATATATAAGTTTCATTGTGGTTTTGTAATTATGTGCGATACTCTCATTCTATATTCAATTGATTTTCTAGTTTGATTTACATTTACTATATTCGAAACATAGAAACCTGTAGTATATAAGATTACTGAAATTCATTCTTGTTATCAATAAAAATTTGATATTTCTTATTTTATAATTTGTTAAACTCAATCATTTTTTCTATTCGTTAAAATTTATTAAATACTCTCTATAATCTTGAATAATAATAAATTACTCAAAATAGATATTGATTTCAATAAGAAATGATATCTCTCATAAAATCTAAGGTATTTTATAACAAATATTATAAACAATTTAATAATTTTAATCATTGTTTATGAATTTGTTATATTTTTTTAGTGCTTTTCCTTTCAATATCCTCTAACTAATTTCTATCACTTATCAATAAACTGAGTATTTTGTATAAGGAGAAACTAAATTTACAAATAACTAAAGGTATTTTGTTCCATTTGAATAAAATCTGCTTGACTCAAATGATAGCCAATTTCAAATTGAATTAATTCATGAAGAAAAAATAGAAAATTAAATCTTTGTTAATATTTCAGAATAAATGAAATTGTTTTGTTTTTAACATGTAATAAATGAAGAAGATAACATGATTATGGCAATGGATAATTCAAGTTTATATTGTTTATATATAATTAAAGACTATTTATTGAATTCATAATTAGTTATTACTCCTCATTTTTGTAATATAACATTGCCCTATCAATCATGTAAAAATTTATTTTAAGTGAACTAATAAATCTTTATAATTCATTGCTAACTTAATGAAAATCAATCAATTATATCTATTATCAATTTGGATGGCATAGTATATGATCAAATATAATTAGAAATTGAAGATATTTGTTAAATTGATTTCTCTTAGAAATATTCAATTATTTTTATTTTTGAATAAAATTGTAAATCAAATAATATTTATTAAGTTGAAATTGATTAACAAATATATTAGTATAAATCAATAACAAAGATAGAATTATTTTAAGAAAATAATATAACATATTCTTAATATGGATATTTGAAGAAANGTTGAAAAGACTGATTATTCTGAGTAAATTTCAATTTATATACACAAAAGTCTTTATTGATTATATTATTTTATTTTAATTACTTAGACTCATCCTCAAATTTCTTTTAGGTAAATCTTTTAAATAAAAATTATAGCATCTTCTTAATAGATATATAAGTTTCATTGTGGTTTTGTAATTATGTGCGATACTCTCATTCTATATTCAATTGATTTTCTAGTTTGATTTACATTTACTATATTCGAAACATAGAAACCTGTAGTATATAAGATTACTGAAATTCATTCTTGTTATCAATAAAAATTTGATATTTCTTATTTTATAATTTGTTAAACTCAATCATTTTTTCTATTCGTTAAAATTTATTAAATACTCTCTATAATCTTGAATAATAATAAATTACTCAAAATAGATATTGATTTCAATAAGAAATGATATCTCTCATAAAATCTAAGGTATTTTATAACAAATATTATAAACAATTTAATAATTTTAATCATTGTTTATGAATTTGTTATATTTTTTTAGTGCTTTTCCTTTCAATATCCTCTAACTAATTTCTATCACTTATCAATAAACTGAGTATTTTGTATAAGGAGAAACTAAATTTACAAATAACTAAAGGTATTTTGTTCCATTTGAATAAAATCTGCTTGACTCAAATGATAGCCAATTTCAAATTGAATTAATTCATGAAGAAAAAATAGAAAATTAAATCTTTGTTAATATTTCAGAATAAATGAAATTGTTTTGTTTTTAACATGTAATAAATGAAGAAGATAACATGATTATGGCAATGGATAATTCAAGTTTATATTGTTTATATATAATTAAAGACTATTTATTGAATTCATAATTAGTTATTACTCCTCATTTTTGTAATATAACATTGCCCTATCAATCATGTAAAAATTTATTTTAAGTGAACTAATAAATCTTTATAATTCATTGCTAACTTAATGAAAATCAATCAATTATATCTATTATCAATTTGGATGGCATAGTATATGATCAAATATAATTAGAAATTGAAGATATTTGTTAAATTGATTTCTCTTAGAAATATTCAATTATTTTTATTTTTGAATAAAATTGTAAATCAAATAATATTTATTAAGTTGAAATTGATTAACAAATATATTAGTATAAATCAATAACAAAGATAGAATTATTTTAAGAAAATAATATAACATATTCTTAATATGGATATTTGAAGAAAATTATAATATGTCAACTAGATAGAATATTTATAATATATTAAAAATTAATATTGAATTATAATATGAAACATAATTAGATTATTTATTATTTAAATGTAACTGATGCAATAATATTGAATGTATTAGAAATATGTTAAAAATCAAATTAAATATTAGATATTGAAAATGATAGTAAAGAATTAAGAATAGACAAGAATCTATTGAAACTAAATAGTAGTTAGTATAAAAATTCTTTTATAATTGAAAAGATTTTAGTATTGCATTTTAATGATTATATATTAGCTAAAATAAATAACTAATTACAATAAAAAATAAATTTATCTATTTTAGAGATATTACCTTTATTTGAATAACAATATTTTGTTGGTGTTTATTAATCTCAACTAAGACTCTTTTAAATTTAACCACCAAGAACTTACAACTAATTTATCTCCTCTTAGAAAATATTATATTTAAACTTTGGAAATTAATTTTATCTTTCATAATTCAATTTAGAATAAAGTTATATTGAAATTTTAAAGTAAAATGAGATTAAATTAATTATTAATAAATATGAAAATAGAATTTATTTAAATAATAATAGTGAAGATATTTGTTTTAAATAATCATAAATATCACAAAGTCTTCCAATTTACTTAGAAGCTATAATTGAAAATAACAAATATGTTTAAATAAATTAAACATTATAAATAGAAAATTGCAAAATAAATTATCATAAATATATGAAAATTATTTATTTTGGGAAATTAAATGATTAAATAAACATGTGTATAATGTTTAAATAAGAAGATATTATAACATTTATATTTTGCAACAATAGTTAAATTATTTAAGAAAAGAGTATAAAATTAATTAAAAAGATATTCATAGATTTGATTATTATTGGATAAGGAAACACTTTGATTTTTTATGAGAAAACCATATAATTAATTACCATAAATGACTCATTGTCATTATAAATAACAAATTTCCCTTAAGAAAATAAAATAATAAAAATAGCAAAATAATTTAAATACATAAGTATTTTATATGAAAATTGTAAGTTAACAATCATATATATTGATGTTAATAAATTAATACTTATAGAAGAATCTTAAGAATATCTTTTTAATTGTACTCATTATTATAAGATTTTGAATAGTCATATTTTAATTAGCCAGAATGAAATCGTTTATTAATCAAAACTGAATAGAAGATATAAATTAGAAGGAAAAATTATAGAAGTATTAACAGATGAATTATCATAATTTTTTGTAATATTTGTTGAAGAAGAAAATGAAATAAAACTCAGATTATATCGTTAAATAAAAACTGAATTAATTTAATAATATATTATTCCAACTTATAATTTCAAATATCAACCTTCTTTTTCTTAAAAATTTTAAAATTATTATTTAATGATAAGTGCAAAAAATTAAAATAAATTGTATTTACTTGTTTATAATTTGAGAAATTCAGCTATTAATTCTCTTATTTTTATTACAGAAATCAATGAGAATTCATAATTTTATCAAATTTATTAAATTTTTGATGATTAAAAAAAGATTTTAATTTATTATTTTAATTAAAAAATATTCTATCATCAATTAAATTAGATTTGTTTTAAATATCCAATTTAACAATAAAATATCTTCACGGTAGAAAAAGAATTTGAATTATTAGTAAACTCTTATGTTGGTAATTAATCTATTAAAATTAAGATATAAATATAAAAATTAAATCATAATTACACCCTTGCTACGTTAAATAAAACTTAACATTATTACTTTCTTAAAGAAACATTAAATTTGGATCTAATTAAAGGAAATATTATAACAGCTGATATTAATTAAGATTTTACAATTAAATTACCTTTAAATATTACTTATTAACACTTAACTTGTTAATATTTTGAATCTAGTCTATGTTTAAATAATTAGTCTTTAACAGAAATTAAATCACTTATTATAATAGATAAGTTAACTCTTGAATTAAGTGATAAAGAAATTAAAAGAATCATATTTAATTAAGAGTCACTTACATATTATGTTTTTTATCGTTATAATCATTATCTATATTACTTGATAGTATAATTAGAAAAAAATGACTTAGATTAATTTGTAATAATATAGAAGAAAACTGTATAAAGTATCCTGCCTCACCTTTATTTGAATAATTTGAAAAAAGTAAAATTAATTTAAGATATCTTATATTTTTAAATTGATGGATATAAAATCTTATTATTCTACAAAGATATTTGTTAAATTATCTGTTCATTATAAAAATAAGATGAATTAATTTCTTATATTGATTCAAACTATTTATCAAATCAAACATATATAATTTTATATTGGTTCTTAAATAAAGTCAAGATTTAATTTATCTT